GCCCCCTCTCCCCCCGTGTCCCCTCCCCCCTTCCTGCCACTCCTTCCTGTCCCATTTGTGACCCCCTGTCCCCTCCTGCCACCCTCTCTGTGTCCCCTCCATGCCCCATTGCCCCATCCCCCCACACAGTCTCCTCTGTGCCCCACTCTCCCCCCTCCTGTCTCACCTCTTGGAGCTCCATGCTCACTGGGGAAACCTTAGGGACACCTTGGGGATGCTCTGCAGATCGACAGAGTCTTACAATGTCCTCGATGGCTCTTTGGCACCACTCGGCCACCTCACAGCCACTGGGACTGGCAGGATCCCCATCAAAATAGAACTTGATGGTGTTTGGAAGTGTCCCCACCAGGTGACGGGTGGCCAGGCGGGCGTTGGTCTCCAACAGCTGCTCGGCCAGGGCCACCTTGGCCAGCAAGTCCTCGGGGATGTTGGGGGACGCCTCATTTGTCCCCTTCAGGGCGGCCTCGATGTCCTTGCGCAGGCGCTGCAGCTCCCTGGGGAACGCGGTGGCTTCAGCACACGTGGCCACCAAGCGCTCCAGCAGCCCCAGGGCCACCTCAACCCACTGTCTCTCCATGGTGGCTCTGGTTGCCTCACTGACAGCCACCCTGGCATCTCTCCTCACCTGGGCTTCATACCTGGCCAGCACCTCAGCTCCCTCCTCCCCGCGCAGCGCCAGACCCCACTCCACCATGTTTTCCTGAGCTGTCCCATAACGGGCAGCCTTGTCCTGCAGCTCCCTGGCCCGGGCAGTGGCGGTGGCTGCCTCAGCAGCCGCCTCATTGACCACCTCCCTGCAGGCATTGTGGAGCTCGGTGGCTGCGCTGGCCAGCCGGGCCCAGCCATTCTCAAGCACAGACACTGGCTGCTCCCAGTGGCTGGCTGCCATTGTCACATGCTTCTGGGTGGTCCCTGGGGTGCTCTTGTAGGTGGCCAGGGCCTGGCTCAGGGAGGTGGGAGGGTCATCATCATCGGAGGTGACAATGTAGTGCCACCAGGTGTCATCAATGCTGTAGAGCGTGGTCCGAAGGTCCCTGGTGAATTTCACCAGGTCCCTGTACAGGTTCACTGCGGACAGGAGCATCATCTCAGCTCGACTGGGCAGGGTGGCCAGTAGCTCGCCCAGGATGGCCACCACGGTGACCTGTGGCTGCAGCAGGGCTGGGGACAGCTGGGGAGGGAACAGAAGAGGTGTCAGGGACCTGGTGGCACTTTTACAGACGCCAGGGGTGGCACCCTGCTACTGAGGGGTCCCTTATGTCCCTTCCCTGGAGGACTCTGCTGTCCTCTCTGTCCCTTTCTCACCCCCTCTTCCCCTCTGCCACCCCCTACCACATCCTGTTGTCCTGCCCTCCACGCCTCTGTCTCCCTCCTCCTTTCTTCTATGCCCTCCTGTCCCCTTTGTGACCCCCTGTCCCCTCCTGCCGCCCTGTGTCCCCTCCTTCCACCACTGCCCCCTTTCACCATTCCCTGTGTCCCCTCTGTCACCCCTGTGTCTCCACTGTCCCCTCCCCGCCAACACTCTGGGATTGTCGCACCTCGAGTTGCTCCCTGGCCGCTGGGGATGCTCCAGGGATGCCTTGGGGACACTCCAGGTGACAAACACGCCCGAGTGGCAGTTGGGGACGAGCAGGAACTTGCCACGGCCAGAAAGGGGAAGTAGGAAGAGGTGACGTCACCATCCCGCCCTTCCCGTGGGGACAGGGCAGGGTCCCCAATGGCCCCCTGATATCCCCAACAGGACCTCTTATGTCCACATATGGTCTCCAGATGGCCCCGGTGTCCCCTCAGGGTACCCAAAAAGGTCCAAGTGTCCCCCAATGTCCTGTTGTGGACACTGAGGACACACCAGGGTCCTGTTGGGGACACTGTGGGGACATCTGGGACATCGTGGTGACCCAAAATGGGACAGGGAAAGTCATGGTGGCCCCAGTATCCCCAAGGGAAGGACACAGGGATGTCCCCAAGGTGCTCAACAGGACCCCAGTGTGTCCCTGGTGTCCCCATCTGGACATTGCGGGACACTTGGGCATTGTGGGGAACATTGGGGCAACACCAGGGCCATGTGGGGACCCTGAGGGGACATCAGAGTTCCGTTTGGGACATCGGGGGGACATTGGGGACCCTGCCATGGCCCCACAGCCGGGGGGTCAGTGACGTCACCTCTTCGTCTTTCCCCTATTCAGCCGCACCACATCCCTGCGTGTCCCCAACTGTCACCCAGGTGTGTTTGTCACCTGGAGTGTCCCCAGAGTGTCCCTGGAGTGTCACCTGGAGTGTCCCCAGAGTGTCTCTGGAGTGTCCCCAGTGGCCATGGAGCCCTGCGAGGTGCAACAATCGTGGCATGGGGGGATATGGGAGTGACAGAGGGTACAGGAGGGTGTGGCAGGAAGGGCAGAGGTGACAGAGGGGTGGAGGGGACCAAGGGTGGCAGATGGGTGGCAGAGGGGACAGCAGGGGATGGCAGGTGGTGGCAGAGGGGATGAGAGGGTGACAAAAGGAGAGAGAGGACAACAGAGGCCCCCAGGGAAGGGACAAAGGGAACCCGGGAGGGCACAGGGGCCACTGCAGCAGGCCACAAGTGCCACCAGGTCCCTGACACCTCCCCTGTCCCCTCCCCAGCCCTTCCTGTCCCTGCTGGAGTGGCAGGTCACCTCGGTGGCCACCCTGGGTTAGATGGTGGCCACTGTGACCAGTCCACACAGGGGCGTGCAGTGGCGTGTGTCCCCAATGTTCCTGCCCTCGCCCTGGAGAGATTCACCCAGAGCCTTTGTGAGACCCTGGACCACGGCGATGTCCCCTCCCTGGGCCACCCTGGTGTCACCTCCCTGGGCCAGGCCCTGGCCACCCTCAGGGCCACCCCAGGGGCCAGCTGGGCCAATGTGAGAGCCATGGCCAAGGCCTGGCAGGAGTTGATGGCCAAGCTCAAAGAGAGCTGGGAATGGCTGGTTCAGGAGGCCGTTGGGCTCCATGGTACCTGCATGCACGCAGCCCCCGCTGTGGCCATCACCTGGGCCAGAGACCAGTAGGACAAGGACACCTGCATGGGGACAGCTGGGGACAACCTGGTGGCCACAGCCCAGCAGCTGATGGTGGCCCTGGACAGGGCTGAGGACACCTCAGAAGGGGTTATACAGGATGCCCATGTTGTGGCAGCCACCAAAGAGGCCATGGACGAAGACGTGGTTGCCACCAGCCAGGCGAGGGTGGCCATCAGGTGGAGACATTGGGCAGAGGTGGCCCTGGGGCCGCTGGAGCGCTTGTTGGATGTGTGTGACAGTGCCACATTGTTCTTTTGGCAGTTGCAGCATCGGCTCAGGGCCATTGAACCTGATCTGGAGGGCATAGATGAGGTGCTCTCCAATATCTCTGAGGCCTTGGTGGCTGCGGTGGCCAAGTTTGAGTGGCTGTGGGTCACCGGTGCCTGCCTCTTCAAGCATCACTTGCAGGGGGACACTTGGAGACATCCACGACCTCCTCTTGAGTCCCTATAGTGGCCATGGTGGCACCAGTGGCCCCTTCAGCCATGCGGTGGCCAAGCGGTGCCAAAAAGCCATGGAGGACATCCCGAAGAAGTCCTTCAAGACAGTGAGGTCACCACTGCAACATCATCGTGGCAGTGACATCACTGGGGACATCACTGCTGTCACCTGTACCTGCTCCCCTCCCCACAGGGGATTTGAGACAAATCTGGGGAATTTTCTGGGAATTTTCATAGCTACTGTCCCAAATGCTGATGGGACATTCCTGGGGTGATGTCACTAAAGACACTCAGGGACATGCAGAGAGGACACACAGGGACACTCAGGGACACTCTGGAGACACTCAGGTGAATGCTGGGACAGTCTGGGGACACTCAGGGAAAATCAGGGAGGACACTCAGGGACCTTTTGGGGAGGGAATCCTGAATTTCATATTGTTAAAAATGAGAGCAGGCTCCCAGTACTAAAACTGATTTCAGAATTCATTGTATGAAAAAGAAAAGCCTAAAGCAAGGGGGCCCGTGGGCTGAGAAGGAGTGTTCCTGTCGAGGATGCTGCAGCACCGGTGCTGGGTCTCCTTGAGCAACGATGGAGCAATGTCCCCGATGTCCCAGATGGAGCGGCACAAATTCAATGGGTCAGATCCACAGGGGTTTTCTTGGTACCTTGAGAGGTTTTCCCGGAAGGTTTCCCGATCCAATCTTGCCTCCCTCCTCTGGTTTTCCCTTCTTCTGGAGACATTCTGCCATGATCCTTATCCTCCCGCCTCCCTTCCCACATTTTGGTCCCAATAAGAGTCAAAAGGAGCGTGCTTTATGGAACAGTACCAGAAACTGAGATTTTTTTTGATTGTCAATTCACAGCTGAAGAAACTTGAACTTATACTATAACTATAACCAACATTAACAAACTTTAAGGATATACAGAAAACCATGTAGATGTTTCCTGTGGGGGTTTGTGTTCCGGGTTGTGCTTCTTTCGGTGTTTTCCTCAGAACCAGTTTCAAGTCTTTATCCTTTCTGTGGGCTATAGTTCATTTGCTTGCCTCAGCTGGAGGTTGTACTGGACCTTTCACTTGACTTGAATGAGTCCACCCTTGCTCCTTTGTTCTTATTGGTCCCGAGTGCTGGAACAAGGGGGGCTGGGGCCTCACGCGCCTCACTTCCCTCTTTCGCTTTCCTCCGTTCCCAGCCGGTCTCCTCATGGAGATCTCTGAACCGTGGTAGTAGAAAGTCCACACTCATTTCGGGGCTCTGAGCCGCTTGGGCTGCTAGCCCCATCTCAAACACCCCCACACACACACACTTGCCCCCCCTGTCCCCTCAGATCCACCCCTGCCCGTGGATGGGTGATATTTACCTTTTCCACTGTGCCTCACGTGTGCCTCAGGCCATTTTCCCAGATGCCAACGCAAGGTCCCAGGCGGCCTGGTTGGGCAAGGTTGTATCCCAGCAGAGTCCCCGAGCTGTTAAAAACGAGAGGAGGCTCCCAGTACTAAAGTGGTTTCAGTATTTATTATAAGGAAAAGAAAGGCCTAAAGCAAGGGGGCCCACGGGCCGAGCGGGAGCTTTCCTGTTGAGGATGCTGCAATGCCGCTGCTGGGTCTGCTTCAGCAGCAATATCCTTCAGCAGTGATGTCCCCAATGTCCCAGATGGAGTGGCACAAATTCAGTGGCTCTGAAGACTCTTTTGATCCTGTTTTTTGTCCCTTTGGATTGGTTTCTTTTTGGATCCTTCATTTGCATGAAGGTTTAAGGTGCTTGATTGGCCCGTTACAAGCTGGCTATACAAGGGACAGGAACACTTCTCACAAGTGTTTCCTCCACTTCCTTTGAAGTGAGTGAGCAGTAGCATTGCTACCAGAGGGAGTCTGGTACGGGCTGGCCTCCTCACCTCTCGATCCACAGGGGTTTTCATAGTGCCTTGAGAGTTTTTCCTGGAGGGAGTTCCTGATCCAGTCTTGCCTCCCCCCTCTGATTTTCCCTTCTTCTAGAGATATTCTGCCATCACCCTTAGCCTACTGACTCCCTTCCCTCAATTGGTCCCAATTAGAGTCACAAGGAGAGTGCTCAATGGAACAGTACTGGAAACTCAGATGTTATCTTGATTATCAATTCTTAGCTGAACAAATCTTGAACTTCTACTATAACTATAATTATAAGCAACATTAACAAACTTTAAGGATACACAGTTAAGCATGTAGATGTTTCCCATGGGGTGTTGTGTTCAGGGTTGTGCTTTTTTCGGTGTTTTCCTCAGGACCAGTTTCAAGTCTTTATCCTTTCTCTTGGCTCTAGTTCATTTACTTGCCTCAGCTGGAGGTTGTACTGGACCTCTCACTCAACTTGCATGAGTCTACCCCCTCTCCTTTGTCCTTACTGTCCCCGGGTGCTGGAACAAGGGGGGTTGGGGGCCGCCTCACGTGCCTCAGTTCCCTTTTTCGCCTCACTTCTCTCTTTCGCTTTCCTCCATTCCCAGCAGGTCTCCTCATGGAGATCTCAGAACCATGGTAGTAGAATGTCCACACTAATTTCGGGGCTCTGAGCCACTTGGGCTGCTAGCCCCATCTCAAACACCCCCACACACACACACTTGCCCCCCCTGTCCCCTCGGGGCCCACCCCTGCCCGTGGATAGGTGATACTTACCAGCTGTACTGTGCCTCACATACCTCTGGTTTTCCCTTCTTCTGGAGACATTGTGCCATCACCCTTATCCTACCGACTCCCTTCCCTCAGTTTGGTCCCAATTAGTGTCACAAGGAGAGTGCTCTATGGAACAGTACCAGAAACTGAGATGTTCTTTTGATTGCCAATTCTCAGCTGAACAAAACTGGAACTTACACTATAACTATCATTATAACCAACATTTACAAACTTTAAGGATATACAGATAACAATGTCTTTGTTTCCCATGGCAGGTTGAGTTGAGGGTTGTGCTTCTTTCGGTGTTTTCCTCAGGACCTGTTTCAAACCTGGAGGGAGTTCCTGATCCATTCTTTCCTCCCACCTCTGGTTTTCCCTTCTTCTGGAGACATTCTGCCATCACCCTTATCCTACCAAATCACTTACCTCAATTTGGTCCCAATTAGAGTCGCAAGGAGAGTGCTCTATGGAACAGTACCAGAAACTGAGATGTTATTTTGTCTCTCAACCCTTAGCTAAACAAAACTTGAACTTTATGACCATAACATACATGAACAAACTTGAAGGATATACAGATGACACTGTGGATGTTTCCCGTTGGAGCTTGTGTTCAGAGTTGCGCTTCTTTCGGTGTTTTCCTCAGGACCAGTTTCAAGTCTTTATCCTTTCTTTTGGCTATAGTCCATTTGCTTGCCTCAGCTGGGGGTTGTACCTTTGAAAAATGCCAATCTCTTGTTTTTAGCATTTCAAATATTTAATAGTAATAAAATGGTTATAAAAATGGTAATATAATTAAAGTAATAAAGGTTTGAACAATTGGGATTGGGACAATACGAGATAATAAGAAAAAAGAGTTACAGATGGTCCAGGTATCTCTTTCTGGGCAAAAGAAGTCCAAAAATGGACACACGTTAACAGAGGATTAACCCTTAAAAGCCATAGCCTGTTGCATATTCATACATCACCTACATGATCCATAAATTCCATTCAAACAAAGGATTCTGTCTGGTCAGTGTCAGCTTCTTCCTCTGAATCCTGACAGGGTCTTCAGGGCTGAGCAAGGTGGAAAGAAGTTAGTTTCTTCTGGTAATGGAGCAATAACTTCTTTTTTTTGTAAGATTTAGGTGTCCTGTGGCTGCTATCTCAGTGCTAGTACCTTATTACTCTCTTTTAAAAAAAAAGTATCTTACAAAGCATGGTTTCTATTTTAACATTATGGTATAACCTAAAACTATATTTAACACACTACTTAAAAAAATTAATACAGCATAACTTTCTAAACATAACATATGTAACAATCATTTTAATATTTGTGAAAAACTGATCATAAAATATGCATTTTTCACACACTGGACCCTTCACTCAACTTGCATGAGTCCACTCCTGTTCTTTTGTTGTTACTGAGGCGTTCGTTGTAAGCAGCACCTGGAAGGGGCCTTTACAGCAAGCAGTTAGCGGAGGGTTTTCCATCATTTAATCAATGCCCAGTCTCCTGGGTTAATACCATGTATTTTACAGTCCAGGGAAAAAGTTTGGTGAGGGTAGCCCATTTCCCTTAGTTCTCCTAGGGTTGTTGCTAATGTTTATATCTATTTCTGCATTGTTGTTCCTGCCTCTAGATATTCCCCAATACTATACGGGGTTAGCAAGAAAGGCAGCCCAAACAACATTTCATAAGGAGAGACCCCTAAATCTGTTCTGGCTCTTGTTCTAATTTGTACTATGGCTAGTGGTAAACATTTGACCCAATCCCATTGGGTTTCTAAGACCAATTTGGTTAAGATACTCTTTAAGGTTTGATTCATCCTCTCAACCCTCCCAGAAATCTGAGGGTGCCAAGGGGTGTGTAACTCCCACTTTATTCCCAGGGCTCTGGTGATTTGTTGCAGAACACTGGATGTAAAGTGTGGGCACAGTCCAAATCAATAATATTTACTAGCCCGTATCTTGGAATAATTTATTCCAAGGGAACTTTTGCCACGGTTTGGGCTGTCTCCCTCCTCATGTGGAAGGCTCCAACACAGTGGGTGAGATGGTCAGTTGTGGGCACAGTCCAAATCAATAATATTTACTAGCCCGTATCTTGGAATAATTTATTCCAAGGGAACTTTTGCCACGGTTTGGGCTGTCTCCCTTCTGGTGGGGATGGCTTCAACTCAGTGGATGAGGTGGCCAGCTATGACCAATAGATGTTTATATTTTTGGGCTGGAGTTAATCCTCCTACCTCTGCCACCTAGTAGAGCTTCCCTCAGAGGAAACAGCCTGTCCTGATTTGCCTCTGCCCTTACACCACTTCTTGATCTGGTATTACAGTAAGGGCCAGCATCTGAAGGGTCATTTGACTGGCTCACTGATTCTTTGTTATGGTTTTAGGAGGGTGCAGTTGTTAGGTTGGAAGATATATCCAGGGAATTTTCTCAGGGAAAGGTGTTGTATTCTGACTTACAGGTTGAGCATGCTGCAAGTTAGTGGGGGTAGGAGGCAGAGGGGTAAAGCATCAAGGGGTGGATATATATGGGGGAGTTGGAGGAGGTAAAAATGTCCTGGAGATTGCCTGAGGAGATAGAGGAGAAGCAGGGATCACTGGAGAGGATAAAGATAGGTTTTGAGAAGCAGGAGGCTGGGAGTTAAGGGTGGGGGGTAGCTTGATAGTTAGGACGCAGAGCTGGTGGGGCTACATAGTCCAAGGGATCCCACCTGTTCTGGGTTGACTCTACGATGCTTTTATCCCCAGTTGTCTTGTTCTGTTTATACCAAACAATAACTTTTGCACCTTTAAGACTTGTTCCAGAGAGTGAAGGGGGGAGAGAAGAAGCGTGCAGTTCATTTACAGACACTGCACTCACTCCTCCACATTCCTCCTCCTGGACTGTGTTGTCTGCAGATGGACAGACAGCGGGACAGAGCTCTCCTTGTCTTTCAGTTAGTTTTAGCTAGCCAAGGCAAGGAAGTTCTCTGGACTGTGGTTTTCTTCCCTTTTCTTTGGACCTGTTTAAACTGCTCTGATCTGAACACCAGAAGAGCAGCGCCAGCTCACATCTGTGGCCCACAAGGCCGGGCCTGGGTTGCGGCATTTCCGGCACCGCAGGGACTGATCAGAGACTGAGTGAGCCAAGCTGCAGTCCAGGGAAGGGACTTTACTGAGTTTGTCATCTCTTTTGGAGCAGCAAGAGGTTTTATTGTTTAATATTGTTTGGGTTCTATTGTTTAATAAACAGGGTTTTTTCCACTTTTCTCCAAGGAGGTATTTTCTCTTGAACCAGTCGGGGGGAGGGGCCAATTGAATCTGCTTTTCTAGAGGAACCCCTTTGGGGGTTATGTCCCACATTTTCCCTGAACCAGGACAATGATAAAGGTGTCTGTTGATTTCTTGCCAAAACCCTGGCCCAAACAACAAACGGGATTCTGAATGTGGGTAATGACAGAGAACCCATAGCAAAAGATCCTTGAGTTCCTTCTCAGGAATTTCCACAGGATATGTGGCCATCATGCTCGGTAGGGTGGACAAGATGCTAAATTGCTCCTGGGAATAAGCTCCCACCATGTTCTTAATTTTGACCCCTCTTACAAAAAGCTGCGTCATCTGCAAAATTGATCCAGAGGTTTTCCTGGTCACTGGCCAGCAGATCTCAGGTGAGGAACTCCCAGGTGCCTTCTGGGTTTCCTCATTTCCAGGTCGAGTTTCAAGTGACTTGTCTCAGCAGAGGTCAAGTTGTCTGTTCAGGAATCTTTCTCCAATGGTGTGCCTCTTCTCGGGCTGGGATTCGATGTCTTATGTTCAGTGGCCTGGGCAGGCAAGCCCATGCCCACCCAGGGACGCCAGTGTCGGAGTCTCTGTGGTCAAGATGACCCCAAGGTGTTAGAAAGTCTCTTTTTTTCCCAGCCCCACGATCAAAGAAGGAGTCGGGATTCCTCAGCTCTGGTTTCAAGGTTGTTTATTTTTCCTTATCTGTGACATTCTTTTCCTGACCTGTTGAGGTCTAGCAGACCTTGGTTCGTGGCACACTGACCACCCTCAGGACGGTGTTATCTTTTTCTACTAAAAAATACATGTACTTTATTTACAATAATTTTCCAATACCTATCACCTATGTTACACAGTCTGCCTCTACTCTAAACCAATAGAAAAGTGCTACCATCACAGCAGAAGATGGAGGACCTCTTTTTTCTGTGAGGCTTCTCAGCTTCCAGGAGAAGAATCCTGGGCAAAGAGGATTTTTCAGAAAATATGACAGTGACAGGGGTCAAGTAACGTGTCTGACACAGAGTTCAGATCAGCCCACGCTGATTTATATAGAGGACACTGATTTATTTATTTATTTATTTATTTATAGGCTGTACGGTGCACACATAAACGGATAGATTATATTGTACCAACCAGCAGCTACAAGGAATCATCCATAATCAATATCAACATCAAATACCATATCAAATTGCTGGTGAACAATAACAATTTGCAATAGGCAATACAAAAGTGCCAAAGAGAATAAAAAATTGCAAAGCCAATAAAAAAGTGCAAAAGCCAATGCAGAACTGCAGAAGGCAATTATTAAATTGTCATTTATGACCCAAAAATTCCCCAAATTCATCTCAAATTCTGCATGTGGAGGGAACAGGTGACACCAGCGATGCCCCCAATCATGTCACTGCCCCCATGATGTCACAGCAGTGACATCACCATCCCTGCAGCAGATTTGGGATGTCTACGATGGTTTTTTGGCACTTCAGGGTCACCACACACAGGTGCTGGAGCTGTTGGAATCACAATTGAAGATGTTGCTGATGTCATCTTGCGGGAGATGGCAGTACCACCAGCCTGGTGGCACCCGTTCTGTCCCAGGCTGGTGGGTATTCAAAGGGTTCTTGGTGACACGAGGACCTGGTGGCACTCGAGTGTCCACAAGACTCTCCAGTGACATCATTGCCCCAGTGAGGTCACAGTGGTGGTATCACTGTCCCCACAGCAGCCTTGGGATGTCCTCACTGGCTTTTTGGCACCGCTTGGCCACCACACGGCTGCTGGGGCCACTGGGGCCACCATGGTCACCACAGGGACTCAAGAGGATGTTGTAAATGACCCCAAGTGTCCCCAGCAGGTGATCCTTGGCCAGGCGGGCGCTGGCCACCCACAACCACTCAAACTTGGTCACCTTGGCCCCCATGTCCTGGAGGACATCAGGGGACACCTCATTTGTCCCCTTCAGGGCGGCCTCAATGTCCCTGAGCCGCCACTCCATGTTCCAGTTGAACAAGGTGACTTTGTCACACGCAGCCACCAAGCGCTGCAGCGGCCCCAGGGCCACCTCGGCCCAATGTCCCCTCCTGGTGGCAGCCACAGCCTTTCCCATGGCCTTGTTGGTGACTGCTGCCACCTGGGCCCCAGGGCCACCTTCACCTCCTGGTGGCCACCATCACCTGGCTCTTGGCCACCACGGTCGCTCCCATGGCCACGGTGGCCACCAGCCCTTTGTTGGTGGCCGCCGCCACCCGGGCCTCAAGCGCAGCCATTGCCGAGGCCCCTCCTCCCTGTCAAGGGCCAGTGGCAGATCCTGTTCTGTGGCCACCGTGTTTTCCTGCGCTGTCCCCAAGCAGGTGGCCATGTCCTGCCAGTTCCTGTCCTGGGCGGTGGCTGCAACTGTGGCTTCTGCAGTGGCCACCTCCCTGCAGGTGGCACGGAGCTCAGTCGCCTCCCTGGCCAGCCGGGCCCATCTGTGCATGATCCTGGCCACCGACTCCTGCCAGACGCTGGCCACGGCTCTGACATCAGCCCAGGTGGTCCCAGGGTGGCCCCGAGGGTGGCCAAGGCCCAGCCCAGGGAGGGGACACCACGGTGGCACAGGCAGGTTCAGGGTCCTACAGAGGCTCCCGGTGAATCTCCTCAAGTCCTCATGCAGGGAGTTTGGGGCCTTGTGCAGGCACTTGCCCCTGTATGGCTCGGTCACAGTGGCCACCACCTTGCCCACGACAGCCACCATGTCCATGACCACCTCCAGCTCTGGAGGGGACAGCTGGAGAGAGGACAGGGGAGGTGTCAGGGACCTGGAGGCACTTGTGACCTCCCGGGGTTCCCCTTGTCCCCTCCTTGAGGGCTCTGCTGTCCCCTCTATCCCTTAGAGACGCCCTGTCCCCTCCCGCCACCCCTGTGTCCCCTCTGTGGGGATGCAGGGACATGGGGACAGCGCACAGGTGGCACCAGGGAGATGGCAGTACCACCAGCCTGGTGGCACCCGTTCTGTCCCAGGCTGGTGGGTATTCAAAGGGTTCTTGGTGACACGAGGAGCTGGTGGCACTCAAGTGTCCACAAGACTCTCCAGTGACATCATTGCCCCAGTGAGGTCACAGTGGTGGTATCACTGTCCCCACAGCAGCCTTGGGATGTCCTCAATGGCTTTTTGGCACCGCTTGGCCACCACACGGCTGCTGGGGCCAATGGGGCCACCATGGTCACCACAGGGACTCAAGAGGATGTTGTAAATGACCCCAAGTGTCCCCAGCAGGTGATCCTTGGCCAGGCGGGCGCTGGCCACCCACAACCACTCAAACTTGGTCACCTTGGCCCCCATGTCCTGGAGGACATCAGGGGACCCCTCATTTGTCCCCTTCAGGGCGGCCTCAATGTCCCTGAGCCGCCACTCCATGTTCCAGTTGAACAAGGTGACTTTGTCACACGCAGCCACCAAGCGCTGCAGCGGCCCCAGGGCCACCTCGGCCCAATGTCCCCTCCTGGTGGCAGCCACAGCCTTTCCCATGGCCTTGTTGGTGACTGCTGCCACCTGGGCATCATGCGTGGCCATTTCCCAGGCCACCTCCTTCGTGTCCAGGGCCACCATCAGCTGCTGGTCCATGACCACCTTCCCACAGGCGTCACGGAGCTTGGTGGCCTCCCTGGCCAGCTGGTCACAGTTGTCCACAAGCTTGGCCACTGACTCCCACCAGGCGCTGGCCTCGGCTCTGACATCAGCCCAGGTTGTGTCAGGGGTTGCCCTGAGGGCGGCCAGGGCCCGGCCCAGGGAGGTGACACCACGGTGGCCCAGGGAGGTGACATCACCATGGTACAGAATCTTACAGAGGTTCTGGGTGAAGTTCTTCAGGTCCTCATGCAGGGAGTCTGGAGATGGGTGCAGGAACTTGCCCCTTTGTGGCCCAGTCACAGTGGCCACCACCTCGCCCAGGGTGGCCACCACAGCCACCAGCGCCTGCAACTGAGGAGGGGACACCTGGGGAGGAGACAGGGATGGTGTCAGGGACCTGGTGGCACTTATGGCCTCCTGCAGTGGCCCTTGTGCCCTTGAAGGGTCATTTTTTCCCCTCGGTCACACTGTCAGTCTCTTGTCCCCACTGCCACCCCTGACGAGCCCCCCTGTCCCCTCACTCCCCGTTGCCCCTTCCCCCGCCATGCCTCCTCCCCCACCAGTGTCCCCTCTGTCCCCCTCTCCCCCTACCCGGTCGCACCTCTTGGAGCTCCATGCTCACTGAGGATGCCTTGCGGACACTCTGGAGACAATCCGGGGATTGAAGGAGCCTTGGGATGTCCTCGATGGCTCTTTGGCACCGCTCGGCCACCCCATAGGCACTGGGGCTGCCAGGACCACCAGTGAAATAGAACTTGATGGTGTCTGGAACTGCCCCCACCAGGTGATCCTTGACCAGGCGGGCATTGGCCTCCCACAGCCGCTCGGCCACGGCCACCTTGGCCACCAAGTCCTCAGGGACAGCAGGGGTTTCAAAATATGTCTCCTTCACAGAGGCCTTGATGTCCCTGAGCAGGCGCTGCAGCTTCCGGGGGAAGGTGGTGGTTTCGTCACACGCGGCCACCAAGCGCTCCAGCAGCCCCAGGGCCGCCTCCAGCTGCTGTCTCACCATGGTGGCCGTTGTTGCCTCGCTGGCAGCCACCCTAGGCTCTCTCCTCACCCAGGCTTCATGCCCAGCCACCACCTCGGCCACCTCCTCCCCACCAAGTGCCTGACCCAGCCCCACCACATTTTCCTGAGCTGTCCCATCACAGGCAGCCTTGTCCTGCAGCTCTGTGACCTGGGTGGTGGCCGTGGCTGCCATCTCTACCGCCTCAGTGACCACCTCCCTGCATGTGTTGTGGAGCTTGGTGGCTGCCCTGGCCAGCCGGGCCCAGCTCTCCTCAACTACAGCCACCAGCCCCTGCCACTTGCTGGCCACCGATGTCACACGGTCCCAGGTGGTCCATTTGGTGCTCTCGTAGGCATCCAGGGCCTGGCTCAGGGAGGTGGGAGGGTCATCTTCATCGGAGGTGACAATGCCAGGCCACCAGGTGTCATCAATACAATACAGGGTGACTCGGAGCTTCTCGGTGAAGGCTACCAGGTCCCAGTACAGGCACCCTGAGGACTCGAGCAAAATCACCTTGTCCCGCCTGGGTAGGGTGGCCAGCAGCTCACCCAGGATGGCCACCACAGTGACCTGTGACTGCAGCAGGTCCGGAGACAGCTGTGGAGAGGACAGGGGAAGTGTCAGAGACTTGGTGGCACTCACGGCCTTCTGGGGTGGACCCCTGCAGCTGAGAGATCCCCTTTGTCCCCTCCATGCCTTTGTCAGCCTCTTGTTCCCTCTGCCAGCCCCTACCCTCATAGCCTCTGCCAGCCCCTGCCCCTCTGCTGTCCCCTCTGCCACCCCCTGCCATTATATTCGTAGACCCTGCCACCACCCACTGTCCCTTCTGCCACCCTGCGTGTCCCGATCCGCCTGTGTCCCTCTCTTCCCCCCCCAACACACCATGTCGCACCTCTTGGGGCTCCATGGGACACCTGGGGAGGAGACAGGGATGGTGTCAGGGACCTGGTGGCACTTATGGCCTCCTGCAGTGGCCCTTGTGCCCTTGAAGGGTCATTTTTTCCCCTCGGTCACACTGTCAGTCTCTTGTCCCCACTGCCACCCCTGACGAGCCCCCCTGTCCCCTCACTCCCCGTTGCCCCTTCCCCCGCCATGCCTCCTCCCCCACCAGTGTCCCCTCTGTCCCCCTCTCCCCCTACCCGGTCGCACCTCTTGGAGCTCCATGCTCACTGAGGATGCCTTGCGGACACTCTGGAGACAATCCGGGGATTGAAGGAGCCTTGGGATGTCCTCGATGGCTCTTTGGCACCGCTCGGCCACCCCATAGGCACTGGGGCTGCCAGGACCACCAGTGAAATAGAACTTGATGGTGTCTGGAACTGCCCCCACCAGGTGATCCTTGACCAGGCGGGCATTGGCCTCCCACAGCCGCTCGGCCACGGCCACCTTGGCCACCAAGTCCTCAGGGACAGCAGGGGTTTCAAAATATGTCTCCTTCACAGAGGCCTTGATGTCCCTGAGCAGGCGCTGCAGCTTCCGGGGGAAGGTGGTGGTTTCGTCACACGCGGCCACCAAGCGCTCCAGCAGCCCCAGGGCCGCCTCCAGCTGCTGTCTCACCATGGTGGCCGTTGTTGCCTCGCTGGCAGCCACCCTAGGCTCTCTCCTCACCCAGGCTTCATGCCCAGCCACCACCTCGGCCACCTCCTCCCCACCAAGTGCCTGACCCAGCCCCACCACATTTTCCTGAGCTGTCCCATCACAGGCAGCCTTGTCCTGCAGCTCTGTGACCTGGGTGGTGGCCGTGGCTGCCATCTCTACCGCCTCAGTGACCACCTCCCTGCATGTGTTGTGGAGCTTGGTGGCTGCCCTGGCCAGCCGGGCCCAGCTCTCCTCAACTACAGCCACCAGCCCCTGCCACTTGCTGGCCACCGATGTCACACGGTCCCAGGTGGTCCATTTGGTGCTCTCGTAGGCATCCAGGGCCTGGCTCAGGGAGGTGGGAGGGTCATCTTCATCGGAGGTGACAATGCCAGGCCACCAGGTGTCATCAATACAATACAGGGTGACTCGGAGCTTCTCGGTGAAGGCTACCAGGTCCCAGTACAGGCACCCTGAGGACTCGAGCAAAATCACCTTGTCCCGCCTGGGTAGGGTGGCCAGCAGCTCACCCAGGATGGCCACCACAGTGACCTGTGACTGCAGCAGGTCCGGAGACAGCTGTGGAGAGGACAGGGGAAGTGTCAGAGACTTGGTGGCACTCACGGCCTTCTGGGGTGGACCCCTGCAGCTGAGAGATCCCCTTTGTCCCCTCCATGCCTTTGTCAGCCTCTTGTTCCCTCTGCCAGCCCCTACCCTCATAGCCTCTGCCAGCCCCTGCCCCTCTGCTGTCCCCTCTGCCACCCCCTGCCATTATATTCGTAGACCCTGCCACCACCCACTGTCCCTTCTGCCACCCTGCGTGTCCCGATCCGCCTGTGTCCCTCTCTTCCCCCCCCAACACACCATGTCGCACCTCTTGGGGCTCCATGCTCACTGGGGACACCTTGGGGATGCTCCGAGGACGCTCAGGGGGTCGAAGGAGCCTTGGGATGTCCTCGATGGCTCTTTGGCACCGCTCGGCCACCCCACAGGCACTGGGGCTGGCGGGAGCACCATCAAAATAGAACTTGATGATGTCATCAACTGTCCCCACCAGGTGATTCTTGGCCAGGCGGGCGTTGGCCTCCCACAGCCCCCCGACTATGGCCACCTTGGCCACCAAGTCCTCGGGGACATTGGGGGATGCCTCATTTGTCCCCTTCATGGCGGCCTGGATGTCCTCGCCATGTTTTCCTGAGCTGTCTCATCATGGGCAGCCTTGTCCTGCAGCTCCCTGGCACGGGCCGTGGGGATGGCCACCTTGGTGGCTGCCTCATTGACCACCCTCCTGCAGGTGTTGCGGAGTTGGGTGGCCCTCCTGGCCAGCTGCGCCCAGCTCTTCACAAGGTCAGCCACCATCCCCTGCCACTTGCTGGCCACCATCGCCACATGGAACCATATGGTCCATGGGGTGCTCTTGTAGACATCCAGGGCCTGGCTCAGGGAGGTTGGAGAGAAATCATCGAAGGTGACATCGCCACGCCACCAGATGTGACAAATGCACCCTATAGTCTCCCTGAGGTCCATGGTGAATTTGTCCAGGTCCAAGTACAGCTGCCCTGAGGACTTGAGCAGAATCAACTCATTCTGCCTGGGCAGAGTGGCCAGCAGCTCGCCCACGATGGCCACCACTGAGACTGGTGGCTGCCCGGGTTTCATGTGCACCCTCGGCCCTCTCCTCCCTGCCCAGGGCCTGACCCAGCTCCACCATGTTTTCCTGAGCTGTCTCATCATGGGCAGCCTTGTCCTGCAGCTCCCTGGCACGGGCCGTGGGGATGGCCACCTTGGTGGCTGCCTCATTGACCACCCTCCTGCAGGTGTTGCGGAGTTGGGTGGCCCTCCTGGCCAGCTGCGCCCAGCTCTTCACAAGGTCAGCCACCATCCCCTGCCAGTTGCTGGCCACCATCGCCACATGGAACCATATGGTCCATGGGGTGCTCTTGTAGACAACCAGGGCCCGGCTCAGGGAGGTTGGAGAGAAATCATCATCGCAGGTGACATCGCCACGCCACCAGATATGACAAATGCACCCTATAGTCTCCCTGAGGTCCATGGTGAATTTGTCCAGGTCCAAGTACAGCTGCCCTGAGGACTTGAGCAGAATCAACTCATTCTGCCTGGGCAGAGTGGCCAGCAGCTCGCCCACGATGGCCACCACTGAGACTGGTGGCTGCAGCAGGGCTGGGAACAGCTCGGGAGGGGACAGGGGAGGTAAGAGGGACATGGTGGCATTTACGGCCTTCTGGGGTGGCCCTCTGCCCCTGAGAGATCCCCTTGGTCCCCTCCATCCTTGTGCCAGCCTCTTGTTCCCTCTGCCATCCCCTGCCCCTCCCCTCATAGCTCCTCCAGCCCCCTGCCCCCTCTGCTGTCCCCTCTGCCACCCCCTTGCCCCACTGCTGTCCCCTCCTGCCACACCCCATGTCCCCCCCATGCCCCATTGCACCCTCCCCCACAGTGTCCCTTCTGCTGTCCCTCCGCCCCACCCCACCCCACCCTGTCGCAACTCTTGGAGCTCCATGCTCACTGGGAACACCTTGGGGACACTTTGGGGACGCTCCAAGTGTTGAAGGAGCCTTGGGATGTCCTCGATGGCTCTTTGACACCGCTCGACCACACCCCTGGGGCTGGTGGGACCACCAGTGAACAAGAACTTGATGGTGTCTTGAAGTGTCCCCAGAAGGTGATCCTTGGCCAGGCGGGCGTTGGCCTCCCACAGCCGCTCGGCCACGGCCACCTTGGCCACCAAGTCCTCAGGGACATTGGGGGATGCCTCATTTGTCCCCTTCAGGGTGGCCACGATGTCCCCAACCCTGCGCTGCAGCTCCCGGGGGAACGTGGTGGCTTCGTGACATGCAGCCACCAATCGCTCCAGCAGCCCCAGGGCCGCCTCCAGCCGCTGTCTCTCCATGGTGGCCGTGGTTACCCGGCTGGCAGCCACCCTGGCATCTCTCCTCACCCGATCTTCATGCCCGGCCACCACCTTGGCCAACTCCTCCCTGAACAGGGGCAGATGCAGCTCCTCCATGTTTTCCTGAGCTGTCCCATCAAGGTGAGCGACGGTCTGCGGGAGCCATGCCCAGTCAGTGGCAGTGGCCACCATGCTTTCTGCCTCAGTGGCCACCCTCCTGCGGGTGTTGTGGAGCTTGGTGGCTTTCCTGGCCAGTCGGGCCCAGCTCTCCAGAAGAACAATCACTGACCGCTGCCACTTGCTGGCTGCCATTGTCACATGGTTTCGGGGGGTCCATGGGTTGCTCTCATTGGCAGCCAGGGCCTGGCTCAATGAGGTGACAGGATCATCATCATGGGAGGTGACATAGTGGTGCCACCATGTGTCATCAATGCGGTACAGGGTGACCCAGAGCTCCTTGGTGAAGTCCACTAGGTCCCAGTACAGGTGCAATGCGGACATGACCTTCATCTCGTCCCGCCTGGGCAGGGTGGCCAGCAGCATGCCCAGGGTGGCCACCACAGTGACCTGTGGCTGCAGCAGGGCTGGGGACAGCTGCAGAGGGGCAGGGGAGGTGTCAGGGACCTGGTGGCATTTGTGGCCTCCTGGGGTGGCCCCCTGCCACCGAGGGGTCCCTTTTTTCTCCTCCAGCCCTTTGTCAGCGTCTTGTCCCTGCTGCCACCCACTGCCACCACACTCATAACCCCTGCCACACCCTGCTGTCTCCTCTGCCACCACATGTGTCCCTTTCTCCCACTGTCCCCTCATCCCCCACTGCCACGGCGCCCCCCTTTCCCCTCCACCTGTCTGTCACCTCCCCCATTGCTGCCACTCCCTCCTGTCCCCTTTGTGACTCCCTGTCCCCTCCTGCCAGCCCCACGTCCTCTCTATCGCCCATTCTCCCTCCCCATCCCCGTGCTCCCTCCCCTCCAATGTCCCCTCTGTCCCCCTGTCCCCCATATCGCACCTCTTGGAGCTCCATGCTCAGTGGGGACACCTTGGGGACACCTTGGGGACACTCCAGGGGTCGAAGGAGCCTTGGGATGTCCTCAATGGCTCTTTGGCACCGCTCGGCCACCCCACTGGGGCTGGTGGGATCACCATCAAAATAGAAGTCGATGATGTCTTGAAGTGTCCCCAGCAGGTGATCCTTGGCCAGGTGGTGGCTGGCCTCCCACAGCCACTCGGCCTCGGCCACCTTGGCCACCAAGTCCTCAGGGACAGCAGGGGATGCCTCATTTGTCCCCTTCACAGAGGCCTCGATGTCCCTGAGCCTCCACTGCAGCTCTCGGGGGAAGGCGGTGGCTTCGTGACACGCAGCCACCAAGTGCTCCAGCAGCCCCAGGGCCGCCTCCAGCTGCTGTCTCAACATGGTGGCCGTTGTTGCCCAGCTGGCAGCCACCCTGGCATCTCTCCTCACCGGCACTTCATGCCCGGCCACCACCTTGGCCCCCTCCTGCCTGCCCAGGGCCAGACCCAGCTCCACCACGTTTTCCTGAGCTGTCCCATAATGGGTAGCCTTGTCCTGCAGGCGCCTGGCCTGGATAATGGTCGCCATGTCGTCTGCCTTGGTGGCCACATCCCTGCAGGTGTTGCGGAGCTTGGTGGCGTTTTTGGACAGCTCGGCCCACCTGTCCACGAGCGTGGCCACCAATTCCTGCCACTTGCTGGCTGCCATTATCACATGATTCCGACAGGTCCCTGAGGTGCTCTTGTAGGCGGCCAGGGCCTGGCTCAGGGAGTTGGGAGCATCATCATTGGAGGTGGGAGTGTCATCATCATAGGAGGTGACATTGTGGCAGAACCAGGTGTGATCAGTGAAGTACATGGTGACCCGGATCCTCCTGGTGAATTCCTCCAGGTCCCTATAGAGGCTTACTGCAGACCCGAGCAAAATCACCTTGTCCCGACTGTGCAGGGTGGCCAGCAGCTCGCCCAGGATGGCCACCACAGTGACCTGTGGCGGGTGCAGCAGGGCCGGGGACAGCTGGGGAGGGGGGGGGAAGTGTCAGAGACCTGGTGGCACTAACGGCCTTCTGGGGTGGACCCTTGCCCCTGAGGGATCTCCTTTGTCCCCTCTGTCCCTTTGCCAGTGTTTTCTTTGCTCTGCTACCCCCTGCTCCCCACCTGTCCCCTTGTCCCCCTCCCCCCACCCATCGCACCTCTTGGAGCTCCATGATCACTGGTGACACCTTGGGGATGCTCTGGGGACTCTCCAGGGGTTGAAGGAGCCTTGGGATGTCCTCAGTGGCTCTTTGGCACCGCTCGGCCACCTCACAGGCACTGAGGCTGGCGGGGTCACCATTGAACAAGAACTTGATGGTGTCTGGAACTGTCCCCACCAGGTGATCCTTGACCAGGCGGGCGTTGGCCTCCCACATCCGCTTGGCCATAGCCACCTTGGCCACCAAGTCCTCAGGGATGTCGGGGGATGCTTCATTTGTCCCCTCCAGGGCAGCCCTGATGCCCTCGAGCAGGCGCTGCAGCTCCCGGGGGAAGGCAGTGGCTGCATCACACGCGGCCGCCAAGCGCTCCAGCAGCCCCAGGGTCACCTCCACCCGCTGTCTCACCATGCTGGCCCTGGCTGCCCAGCTGACAGCCACCCTGGCATCTCTCCTCACCGGCGCTTCAAACCCGGCCACCACCTCCGCCCCCTCCTCCCTGCCCAGGGCCTGACCCAGCTCCACCACGTTTTCCTGAGCTGTCCCATCACAGGCAGCCTTGTGCTGCAGCTCCCTGGCCCAGGTGGTGGCCGTGGGCACCATATTGGCTGCCTCAGTGACCACCTCTCTGCAGGTGTTGCGGAGCCAGGTGGCCCTCCTGGCCAGACTCTCCCAACTGACCTCAAGGTGAATCGCCATTGACTGCCACTCGCTGGCTGCCATTGCCACAGGGTTCTCGGTGTTCCTTGGGGCACTCTTGTAGGTGGCCAGGGCCTGGCTTAGGGAGGTGGGAGGGTCATCCTCATCGGTGGTGACATTGCGGCGCCACCAGGTGTCATCAATGCTGTACAGGGTGGACCGGAGCTCCCGGGTGAATTTCTCCAGTTCTGAGTACAGGCGCAATGGGGACACAGGCAGCAGCATCATCTCAGCCCGCCTGGGCAGGGTGGCCAGCAGCTCGCCCACGATGGCCACCACAGCGACCTGTGGCTGCAGCAGGGCTGGGGACAGATGTGGAGCGGACAGGGGAGGTGTCACGGACCTGGTGGCACTTATGGCCTCCTGCCGTGCCCCCATGCCCCCAGGGGGTCTCCTTTGTCCCCTCAGTCCCTTTGTCACACTCTTACTCCTTCTGCCACCCCCTGCCCCTCTGCTCGTGGCTCCTTCAGCCCCCTGCCCCTACTGTTGTCCTCTCTGAACCCTGCCACCAGCCCCCGTGTCCGCTCCCCCCTTTGGTCATGTCTCCACTTCCTGTCACTCCCTCCTGTCCCATTTGTGATCCCTTATCCCCTCCTGCCACCCCTTGTGTCCCCCCATTCCGCATTTCCCCCTCCCCACCCCATGGGCCCTCCCCCACAGTGTGCCCTCTGTCTCCCTCTCCCTCCACCCCCCTCCCTTGGAGCACCTCTTGGAGCTCCATGCTCACTGTGGACACCTTGGAGACGCTCTGGCGACTCTCTGGGGTTTGAATGAGCCTTGGGATGTCCTCGATGACTCTTTGGCACCTCTCGGCCACCCCACAGGCACTGGGGCTGGCGGGATCATCATTGATATAAAACTGGATCATGTCCTCAACTGTCCCCAGAAGGTGACCCTTGGCCAGGTGGGCACATGGGAATGTGGCGCGGCTGGATGGGGGAAGCAGGAAGAGGTGACGTCACTGCTCCCCTTCCTGTGGAGCCAGGGCAGGGTCCCCAATGTCTCCCTGATGTGCGCAATGGGACCCTGATGTCCCCTCAGGGTCCCCACACGGCCTGGGTGTCCCCTCAGAGTCCCCAACAAGGTCCAAGTGTCCCCTGATGTCCTCTTGGGGTCACTGGGGACACAACAGGGTCCTGTTGGGGACACTGTGGGGACATGAGGGACATCGTGGTGACCCAAAACAGAACAGGGGACATCAGGGTGGCCCCGGTGTCCCCAAGAGAAGGACACGGACATGTCCCTAAAGTCCCCAACTGGACCCCGGTGTGTCCCTGGTGTCACCAGCTGGACACTGGGGGACACTTGGGCCTTGTGGGGGACATTGGGGCAACACCAGGGCCATGTGGGGATACTCAGGGGACATCGAGGTTCTGTTGGGGACATTGGGGGGACATTGGGGACCCTGTCTTGGCCCCACAGTCGAGGAGGCAGTGACGTCACCTCTTCCTGCTTCCCCCATCCAGCCGCGCCACATTCCCATGTGTCCCCAGCTGTCACCGGGGCCTGTTCAACTCCGGGAGTATCCCCAGAGCGTTCCCAGTGTCCATGGAGTACGAAGAGGTGTGACAATCCCGGCATGCGAGGGCACGGGGGTGACATAGGGGACAGGAGGTGAGAGAAGGGACAGGAGGGCGTGGCAGGAAGGGGGGAGGTGACAGAGGGGTGGAGGGAACCAAGGGTGGCAGAAGTGACGGCAGGGGGGTGGCAGGGGTTGACAGAGGGAACGAGGGGGTGACAAAGGGACAGAGGAGACAGCAGAGCCCTCCAGGGACGGGCAAAAGGGACCCTCGGAGGGCACAGGGGCCACCGCAGGAGGCCACAAGTGCCAGCAGGTCCCTGACACCTCCCCTGTCCCCTCCCCAGCTGTCCCCTCCACAGCTGCTGGAGGCTCTGGTGTCCGTGGTGGCCACCCTGGGCAAGGTGGTGGCCACAGTGACCAGGCCACAGAGGGACGAGCAGCAGCCCATGTCCCCAAAGTCCCCATCTGTTGCCCTGAGGAACTTCACCTGGCGCCTCCGGGATGCCCTAAACCACTGTGGTGTCACCTCCCTGGCCGCGGCAATGTCCCCGCCCTCAGCCCAGCCCTGACCAGGGCCACCCCAGGGACCACCTGGGCCAATGTGAGAGCCTCAGGCTGGGCCTGGTGTGAAACAACAGGATGGAACCAGGAGAAGAAATCAAATATATTGACCGGTATCTACAGAATGTCCTGCAGACAAGTCAGAGGTTAAAACCAAACAAGAGTTCCTGCAACATCCAAACCTCCCGGGAATGTCTGAAGAATGTCTCAACTCAGGAATGTGTTTGTAGCCCTGCAGTGGATCTGGATCTGGAGAACAGCGGGTTAAGTTAAGGAAACTTGTTTGGCTGCCTGCCAAAATCCTTTTATATCCCTTATTAATCTTTTACAATTTTCAAGGAGTGAACTTTGTTTTTCACACCCAACTGTGATTTGCGAGTGCCCCCGCTGCTGAGCACTGACCCCGCCCCGGGTGTTGCTGGAACCCCCAAAAACCGCAACCACCACTAACTTGCTGGGGGTTGGGGTTTTCCTGTTCTTTCCTTGTCACTTGTGGGTTTTTCTTCTTTTGAGTTGCTAAGAGCACTGCTGGCTGAGTGCTTGAGAAGGCGGGGAGGGGGAACTCCTCTGGTTTTGGGAGTTCCTCCCCAGGGGGGACAGAGAAACTGGGAGAATGGGGGTCAGCAATTGGGGGCAGCCTCTCTCTCTCTCAGGCTCTTTGGCATCAGAGGAGGACGGCCAGGCTGTCACTTACTGCAGAGAGAATTCACTGGCACGGCTGGAGCTCAGCCCTGAGGGACTGATCACCATTTGCTTGTGTGCTCCTGGAATGCTGAATTCCTTGTGTCCCGGGAATCCTGAACTTCATGTGCCCCAGGAATCCTGAGCATCCTTTGTATGTCCTGGGAATTCTGAATTCCATGTGTCCTGGGAATCCTGAACTTTGTGTGCTCCAGGAATCCTGAATTTCATGTGTCCCAGGAATTGGTCTGTGTGTGTGCCCTGGGAATCCTGAACGTCGTGTGCCCCGGCAATCCTGAACATAGTGTACCCCAGGAATCCTGAATTTCGTGATGTTAAATACAAGAGCAGGCTCCCAGTACTAAAAGTGAATTCAGCATTTTATAAGAAAATGAAAGGCCTAAAGCAAGGGGCCCACGGGCTGAGCAGGAGCATTCTCGTCCAGGATGCTGCAGCGCCAGCACTGGGTCTGCTTCAGCAGTGACGTCCACAATGTCCCAAATGGAGCGGCACAAATTCAGTGGGTCAGAAACCCCTTTTCATCCTGTTTTTTTTTCCATATGGATTTGTTTCTTTTTGGATCCTTCATTTGCATGAAGGTTTAAGGTGCCTGCTTGGCCCATTACAGTTCTGTCCAGGCTGGCTCATTTCGCTTGGGTTGTGCTGCATTTTACTTAGGTGTGCTATGGTACCTTGACTATCATATCTCTTATATCTACCCTTTTAACCCCTTTTACAATATAATAACCAAATTAACAGTACATGCTTAATAATCTATCATCTATATTACAACAGTTTCTAACCTATTTTTAACAATTCCCCCCTCTAAATATTTGATTGGGCTTCCAGCCTGCATCAGCCTTCTAAAGTTCAACTTCTACATTTCTCAGTTTCACATACTGTTCAAGCATATCTCTGGCATTCTGATCACTCTGCTCTTTCATTAACATTACTTTTTCAGCATTTTTCCCTTCCACTTGCCCTTGCAGCATGATGCTGCTGTGGACAAAGCTGGTCACTATCCGGACTAGACATGGAATTGCACATGGTAGTAATATTACACTTGCAACTGCACACACCACAAAGAAGAACAATTTCAGAAATATAATTTGTGTAATAAAAATTTGAACAATTTGGATTAGGACAATATGAGACAATAAGAACAAAGAGTTACAGACCATCCAGGTACCTTTTTCTGGGCAACAAAGAGATATGGACAGTTTGAGTACCTCTTTCTGGGCAAAATAAGCCCAAAAAAGGACACACGTTAACAGAGGATTAACCCTTAAAAGCAATAGCCTGTTTGATATTCATCCACCTCATACATGATGCCTAAAAGCCACTCAAACAAAAGGTTTTGTTTGATCAGTGTCAGCTTCTTCCTCTGAATCCTAATAGCGTCTTCAGGGCGGAGCAAGGCGGGATGAAGTTAGTTTCTTCTGATAATAGAGCAATAAATTCTTTTTTCTGTAAGATTTAGGTGTCCTGTGGCTGCTATCTAGGTGCGAGTACCTTATTCCTTTCTTTAAAAAAATATCCCACATACACAGTTTCTATTTTATCATCAACAACTCTGACCATCGATCTCTTCAACCAGCAGCAACAACAAACATGATCAGTAATTTACCAGATGTGATTGACAGTGGACTATCTCCTTGCAGATGAAGGAGGGATCTGTGGGACATTTAATACTTCAGAATGCTGCCTAGACATCAATGACCACAGTCATGTAAGTAAAAACACTACTCAAAATATTAGAAAACGAGCCTGTGTTGGAGCACAAAAATGGACCCTCTGAATTGGAGACTCCAATTGGTGGGACAACTTGTTCACCTGGAATGGTAAATGGTGGAAGAAATTGTTCTTCTTTGTGGTGTGTGTACTGGCAAGTGTAAAATTACTACCATGTGCAATTCCATGTCTAGTCCGGATAGTAACCATCCTTGTCCACAGCAGCATCATGCTGCAAGGGAATGTGGAAGGGAAAAATGCTGAAACAGCAATGTTAATGAAAGAACAAAGTGATCAGAATGCTTGAACAGAGATATGCTTGAACAGTATGAGAAACTGAGAAAAATAGAAGTTGAACTTTAGAAGGTTGATGCAGGCTGGAAGCCTGATCAAATAGTTAGAGGGGGGGAATTGTCAAAACTAGGTTAGAAACTGTTGTAAAATAGTTGATAGATCATTAAGCATGTACTGTTAATTTGGTTATTATATTGTAAAAGGGGTTATAAAGGTAGTTATAAAAAATACAGTACTCAAGGTACCATAGCACACCTAAGTCAAGTGCACCACCTCCCAAGCGAAACGAGCCAGCCTGGACAGAACTGTAATGGGCCAAGCAGGCACCTTAAACCTTCATGCAAATGAAGGATCCAAAAAGAAACCAATCCAAATGGAAAAAACAGTATCAAAAGGGGCTTCTGACCCACTGAATTTGTGCTGCTCCATCTGGGACATCGGTGACATCGCTGCGGAGGCAGACCCAGCACCAGTGTTGCAGCATCCACAACGAGAATGCTCCAGATCTGCCCGCAGGCACATGTGCTTTAGCCCTTTCTTTTTCTTGTAATAAATGCTGAAATCATTTTAGTACTTGGAGCCTGCTCTCATTTTTAACAACCTGGGGACTCTGCTGGGACACAACCTCACCCAACCTAGCCAACTGGGACCTTGCACACACATGAGGCAGAGCACAGCTGGTAAGTATCACCCA